TTAAATAAAATTGAATTGAATGATATGGTATGATTTCTGTAGTCTTTTGAAAAAAGACAGTGAAGCTTTGCATGGATCGAACTTTTGTCTTTGAACTGTTATCTTTGCAGGTGCCCTTGAACCCATCCTATCAGGTAAAGGAAGTGGAGTTCACTATACTAAAGGTACAGTCAGTTGGCCCTATTGGGACAATAGCCTGAAATTGAATAGAAATGTTTAGCCTGCTTACAATTTCTATGCTGCACTTCCATTGGTTACTGATAATTTACTGGATTATTCAAGCGTAAAGGAATTTGAATGTATTAAAACAGATTTGTTGCATCTAGGTCCAGTGTAAGGCAGTGGTATGTCCAACCAGCTTTAAAACCCAGAGATTTTGTGAGATGCTGAGGGAGATTTGCCCAGAGATTGGCACAACACAAGGAGGCAAATTTAAAAGCTCCAGGTTAGTCAGATTCAAATATCCCTCCTCTGCTGATATTAAGGGACTATGAAATCTTTTTATAACTTATCACTCTAAAAAAAAAAAGATAGCGTTGAAGTTGAAGCTGTTTAGGATTTGAGACAAAGATATGGTCATGTTTTTTTTTTTTTAGGTTGCCATACTTGGAAATGGTGATTGTGACCGACAGCAGACAGCCAGGGATGCTCCACGTAGATGATGTGATGCAAGCAGGGGAGAGTCGGCACCACAAAGAGCTGATGGATCTGCAGAGCAAGCTTTCCTTTGATGACCCCATCAACATTCAGTTTACATCAGTAACATTCAGTGTTTCAACTTTTTCCAGGGCACACATGTATCATATTGACCTGTAACAACAATTAGAGCATTGAAAATGATCTAATAATCATTCTGGTCATTGATTTGTATAAGGGTACGACTGGGAACCCAAAAGGAGCTGTGCTTTCCCACCACAACATTGTAAATAATGCCTACTTCCTGGGCCTCCGCGTCGGTTACGGATGGAGAGTAAGTTCATGTACGCGTTACTAACAAGAAGAAAGCACAAATAATAGTGAATTACTTCCTTTATCTCTATTCACCATCAGCCTCGGGTGCGAGTGTGTGTGCCTGTTCCATTCTACCACTGCTTCGGCTCCGTGCTTGGAGGAATGAGCATGGCAGTTCACGGCATCACGCTAGTTTTTCCTTCCACAGCCTACAACAGCTGTGCCAATTTAGAGGCCATTCAAAGTGAAAAGTACAGCACCACTCATCTTCACTATCATAAGTGTCCAGCTGTACAAGAATAAGCACTTTCACAGATTACCATCCATGTCTTTTCTTTTACTCCAGGTGCAATTTTGTGTACGGTACCCCCACCATGTTCACTGATCTGCTAAGCCAAGATTTACAAAAATATGATTTGTCTTCAGTTGAAGCTGGTGAGAGACCAAAAGACACGACGCCAAATTTAATGGGTTAAATTTGGTGTTATGTCTACCCTTCATATTTGCTACTGCATTTTTAGGGGTCATGGGAGGTTCTCCGTGCCCTC